ACTTGCAGGAGGTCTGTTTCTAGCACCTTCTGCTCTTCTATATAGCTGTGGCAGAGCTGACTTGCTGTAAACAGGGCCTGAAATTTCTCCTCAGAGAAGGTCCGACGTACTGGAGAAACTTTGGATTATCTGCCTTGAAATGCTCAAGTTTTCAGAGAACGCAGGTTCTAATAAAAAGTGACGGCATTTTTTATTCTGCTTCACATTACAGAAGCTGGACTGTGACTGTCCTGAATTTCTTCTTTCTTGGCTCAAAAAAGCAATTTATCTGGCAAATATGTTGCTAGTACTTTGAAGTGATTAGGCAAAATAGCCTAAACTGGAAGGAAGATGTGTGTGCCCAACTTAAGAGAGCATCTGGCTCTCAAATTTCAAGGGAAAATGTTTATCAGGGAATGGTTACTTCAGTTATTCAAAAAGAATTACATGTTGTCCTTTCTCCTAAGCAAAAGTTATTTATATATGAACTAAGTTGTTCTGCACTTGAAAATCATGGTTGTGATGCCTGATAGATACACTTGACCAAAGCTGGAAATTAAAATAGGCTCTTTGCCTCAGTTTCTTTCTAAATGCCACTGCATAATGTGATCTGCTATATGCTAGCAAGAGTGTACATAACACTCACAAGCTTGTTTTTTTAAGGACCATCTGGAATGCATGTGTCTGAGCAGAGCCAGAAGAGAAATTCAGCAAAGTATCAAGCGCCGCATACAAATCAAAGAGCATGCTTCTTTTCTTGTGGGGAAAAAAATGGGGCAGGAAGATGAGTTTCACTATCTGTCTCAGGCCAGGATGTTCAGGGCACTTTCCAATCTGAGTGAAAAACTAAACAAACTTTAGTAATGGAGAATATTTTCATGAAAACCAAAGGCAAAAGACTACCATTGAAAAATATTTGACTTAGTCATAAACATTTGAAGGAATCATGCAAAGTTTAATATATGATTAATAAGGAAGACAGCTCATTTGTGTTCTTTAAAACTGACAGGTCAGTGGATGGAGCTCAATGGATGTGTTCCAATACACTGTGTTTTGTTCTTCCTTGCTTACTGTACTATAATTTTTTTAATTTTAGCAGAATATCTGAAAATGATGCTGAAGTTAACATCAACTTGCTCATGAAGTACATTCATCTCCACAGTAAAAATGAAACATTTTTATATTGGTCAATTAACCTTTGTTTTGGACCATGCAAATGAAATATCTTGATTTTAATTTTGATGGAATGAAGCATTCTGGTTAGATGAAGCAGAAAAGTATCAAACTAAAAGACCTTGGAAAAAATAAGCCATATTAAATTAGACTGGCATCCTTATAGAATGGATTCAAGAATAAATTAAGAGGACAAGCTTACAGACTGATCTTCACAGTAGTCACAGACTGCCATGAGAAACAGATGTGATAACAATTCAAATCCTTTAGATTTGAGCCAAATTTAGAGGATAAACTCCCTGGGATTTGCATAAACTTGCTTCTTTGAAGTATGTACTTTTAAAGTCCTGTAATAACTAAGTATGGAAAGGCTAGAAACTAAATTTTGGAAGAATTGCAGAATCTGACTATGGTGGGTCATCAGGAAGGGACTGGACCTATGTACCAGCTTTACGCTTTTATTAGATGGTGGGTGTTACCTAAAACTTACCTTTAAGCATCCTAGGTTAGGTTTCAAAAAGGTTGTCTTTCAGAGACAGAATTGCCAACTCAGTCTAGAGCATTAAAAAAAAAAAAACAACCAAAAAATCTGAGACAATTTTTTTATTTTATTTCAAAAAAAGGCAATTATTAAGGAAATGGCAGTGACAAATTGAAAAAAAAACCCAAAACATAATTCTCTCCCACTGCTAATTTCTGCCATCAGTCAAAGGCAATCTGATGTAGGGTTTATACACAGGCAATCAGCACACACTGGCCAATGTGAGCTAGAAAAGAAATTTTGGACAGAAGCCACTAATACTCAGTGTCTGCTGAAATAGAGAAAGATTTCTCATTAAAATTAATGTAATTGAGATAAGCACTCAGCAGGGCAAGAGCCAAAGCAAGGCTATGCTGTAGACTTCTCAGTAATAAAGTGGGTTGAGGTATAAAGTTTTTCCTACTCTGGGGTTTGCATGGCAAAGCTTTGGTAGCCGAGGGCTACATAGGTGTCTTCTGTAAAATGTCAGAAGCTTCCCCTGCGTCCAATAGAGCCAGTGATGACTGACTGCAAGAGGGACCTGCTGCTGACCAAGGCTGAGCCAATCAGCAACAATGGCAGCACCTCTGGTTAAGAAGGCTGAGAAAAAACTGTGCAAAACCAATTGCTGACAGAGAGGAGTGAGTGTATGTGAAACAGCCCTGCAGACACCCAGGTCAGTGCAGAAGGAGGGGCAGGAGGTGCTCCAAGTGCCGGAGCAGAGGTTCCCCTGCAGTCTGTGGTGCAGCCCATGGTGAGGCAGCCTGTGCCCCTGCAGCCCATGGAGGTCCATGGAGAGCAGATGTCCACCTGCAGCCTCCACGCTGGAGCAGGGGGATGCTCGGAGGCTGTGACCCAGTGTGAAGCCTGCGCTGAAGCAGGCTCTTGGTAGGACCTGTGACTAGAGGGAGGAGCCCACACTGCAGCGGGTTTGCTGATAGGAGCTGTGACCTGCAGGGGACGCACGCTGGAGCAGTCTGTTCCGGAAGAATGGAACATGCACCATGGAAGGGATGCATGCTGGACCCGTTCATAAAGAGCTGCAGCCTGTGGGAAGGACTCACATTGGAGAAGCCCATGGAGGACTGTCTCCTGTGGGAGGGACCCCACGCTGAAGCAGGGGAAGAGTGTGAAGAGTCCTCCTCTGAGGAGGAAGGAGAGGCAGAGACAACGTGTGATGAACTGCCATAACCCTTATTCCCTGTTCCCCTGCACTGTTGTGGGGGAGGACGTATAGAAAATCAGGAGTGAAGTTGAGCCTGGGAAGGTGTGAAGAGGGTATTTTTGAGATTTGGTTTTATTTCTCATTATCTTATTGTGATTTGACTGGTTACAAACTAACTCTCTCAGGTCAAGCCTGTTTTGCTCATGACAGTAATTGGTGAGCAATCTTTCTCTGTCCTTATCTCAACCCAGGAGCTTTTTGCAATATCTTCTCTCCCTGTCCAGCAAAAGAGGTGTCCTGGGTTCAGCAGCAGCAGTCATTTTTCTCCTTCTTAGTAGCTGGTGCAGTGCTGTGGTTTTGACTTTCAGCCTGGGAACAGCGCTGATAACACTGATGTTTTTAGTTGCTGCTTAGTAATGTTTGGTCTGACCAAGGACTTTCTGAGCCTCATACTCTGCCAGGGAGGAGGGGAAGCTGGGAGGAAGCAGAGACAGGACACCTGACCCAAAGTAGCCAAAGGGGTATTCCATACCACAGCACGTCATGCTCTGGATGTAGAACTGGGGGCAATTACCTGGAAGGGCTTGATCACTGCTTGGGTCCAGCTGGGTATCAGTTGGTGGGTGGTGAGCGGTTATATTCTCTTCCCTTGTTATTTCCCTTATCATTATTATTATAGGTGGTAGCAGTAGTGGTTTGTGTTATACCTTAGTTACTGGACTGTTCTTATCTCAGCCCCTGGGAGTTACATTCTTTCAGTTCTCCTCTCCATCCCTCTGGGAGCAGGGGGAGGAAGGGGGGAGGACTGAGAGAGTGAGCTGCGTGGTTGGGCTTAAACCATGACAAGAGGGCAGTGACAGAGCAGCTATGGTAGGCACCTGGCATCCAGCCAGGGGAAAACCACCACACCAGCTCACAGTTTTGTTATGACTTTACTGCGCTGGTGTTTGGTTTTGTTTTGTTTTCTCTGTGAGTGCTTATTTCCCTATAACAGCAAACAATGCATCTTTGCTGGTCCAGACTTCTGGTGGATTTCATGCAACCCACTGTTAAGTTTCTATACACTGGTCCACTGGCCTATAGCCTACACACTCCCTGGTTCAATGCCTGGACCACTAAATCACTTCATATGGGGATAGAGGAGGGAACAAATAGTGGTGATAAAGCAGATGTTTTCTTGCAGATAAAAACCCTTGAAACATTACTGTACCCCAGAGAACTCTGTGTGAGGCATATGGAGAGGCAATGTTTGTTCCAAATAAAGATTCTAGTGAGACATCATAAATGAAAATGTATGCTGAAATCAGCAAAACTGAATCTGAGGAATGAGAATCAGGAGACTGAGCCTGTATGTTTTCATACATTATTTGTTGACGTTATCATCCACTAAGGTATGTTATCAGTGTTTGAAATAACAGTAACACTTCTTAAAACCTTGGTAGGCACATTTTCTTGGTATTCTAACAGAATTTTTGTAAACTGATGCCCCATTACACACAAAATATTATTTTGGAGATGTGATTTTAATAAGGTTTTTGTATTATGGGTCTCTTTGGGCTAAAGATTGTTTGTTATTGATAGAGAATTTTATTTTATGTACTTGTAACTTCAGAATTCCTGGTGCCTCAGGCAGAAGACCAGAGAAATCCTATTCATAGAATCATAGAATAGCTTGGGTCAGAAAGGAACTTAAGATCATCCAGTTCCAACCACCCTACTATGAGCAGGGACACCTCACACTAGGCCATGTCACTGTGCAACTTGGTCTTGAACACTGCCAGCCTTGTTTCCCTTTCCATTCCTTTTACCTAGTCATTGACCCTTTCTGTTGAAGCCCAGCTGTAGCCACAGGTCTCTATTTAGCTATCATCACACATGGCTGTCATACATAGATAAGCAAGTTTGAAATAAGAAAACCTTTCTCAGACCTGTTGAAATAGTTAGTCCAAACAAAGAAAACACAGTGCGTGCAGCTGTTCCCAACACATGCACCAAACACCCCCACAGTATCAAAGAAACACCTGCAGTGTCCCACATAGCAGGAGTATGCTCCAAATCTCAGAAAGACCTTGTGTGTTACCCTCTTTAAGGAAGCAGGCTGCATACACGGATGTTTTAAATGAGTCTTTTGTTTTGTTTCAAACCAACTGAAAATTCAGTCACCTGCAAGGCAGTGTTTTTTGTTAGCTGGGTAACAAGAAGCACCACACACAAACAGGCCGGACTCCACAGCAGCCCAGGCTGGACATGAAGGTTGTGCTACACATCTCTGACAGAACGCCGACCTCAGGCCGGGCCCGACTAGGCAGCACTACGGGGTGCACAGACACACGGGCGCAACGCGGGCAGCCTGCCCGACACTCGGCAAGACTCAGCCCAGGCCCAGACCGCCTCGCCGGAGCAAAGGACTCAGAGCCACAGGGCCGGGTTGGGCCTGCGAACAGCGCGCGCCTCACCAGCCGCGCGCTTCCATGGCAACCGCCCACACCAGCCACTTCCGCCCATGGCCACCAGAGCGAGGCCGCGCAGGCGCAGTATCCCCCTATCAGTGAACGGGTGTCGCTCATCCGGCCGCTCGTCATCCCGGCTATGCGCATGCGTAGTACCGGTGGCTAGGCGGTGACCCGCGGCATGGCGGGGTAAGGCGCAGGCGCAGCGCGGCGCGCGGAGGGGGGGGGGGCATTTTAACAGTAAACATCCTGTGATTTGAACGGCCGCTTTGGGCGGCAGGAAGGGACGCGGCCGCCATCTTGTTTGTTTGAGTGAGCGGCTCGGCTCCGCGCGGCGGAGCGCAGCGGTCACCGGGTCAGGCCTCGCCAGCCGCCGCACCAGGGTAAGGAGCGGCTCCGGCCGCGCTTGCTCCCGCCGGTCGCCCCGGCTCGTTGTCGCCGTCTAGAAGGGTCCTGGCAGGGGCCTGCAGCAGCCTGGCTGCTGGGGCGCTGCCGGCCTGCTCGGATTCGGCTGCCGGCCCCTTGCGGCCGTGCGCGGCCGCGCCGCCCTTTCGGCCGAGCCCTCTTGGAGGGGCGGGCGAGTGGCAGCAGACGGGGAGGGCCCGGGCCAGTCTGGAGCCCGGCTCTGGGGCTCCCCCAGAGGGCCCGGGTGGTTGTGGTGATCTTCCCGCGGTCAGGTGTAGTGAGGCACCGTCTGCGGCCGGGTAGAGCTTCGCGGGGGAGCACAGTGCGCCTCCAGGCAAGGCAGAGCGGGGTGTGCGCTGCGTGGTGGGGTGGCCTGAGAGCCTGGAGCGATCTCCCTGTTTCCCAGGGAAGAGCGAGTTCATGGGAGACGAGGGAGCAATGAGTTAGGATGCCATAGCCGGAATAATGTAACAGATCTTCGGCTGCGGGTTGGCAGAGGGGATGGTGTAGCTGCGGGGCTGCTGCAGACTGGGGAGGAGGAGAGGAGCGGGAGTTTCATCGGCCCGTGTTTCTGATGTAATTTAACTTCTCACTTGGATAAAGCACACTTAATGAATACTTCTGCAGCTCTCGCTAATAACATATAAACGGTTTTCTGGCACTCTGTTGGTCTGCAAATCAAAGCCCCCTTTAAAAATGCCTACCTCTTGAAGAAATAAGATCTTACTCTAGCAGTTTCTGTGGACACTCTTGATGTAAACCTGGCTATAATTTTCTGGCTATAATTTTAAAGATTTCTCTCTGATTCTGAATGAAAGGCTTCTGTTAAATACAAAGCAGTGTCATGTTTCTGTCAGTAACAAAGGAAGTTGGGGTCACTATGACTTACTGGCACTGTTTAAGTGAAAATAGCTTCCTGTTAAATTTCAACACATGCAAGAAAATATTGTAAATTTGGAGAAGTTATCATTTAGGCCCACATTGTGTGAACTTGTGCAATAACCATACACTTTCATTAATCTCTTCCTCGGTAAACCTTGTTACATCAACAATGATGAAACAGCAAAACATTAGTAGGGCCAGGCTTGCGTTTTATTTCATGAAGTTTCATTTGTAAATACTTGTCATTCTGTGAAACTTGGAAACACAAAGCCTTCTGACCTGAAGTAACTAGAGAGGAAGTGGGGGGGGGAAGGATAAAAGGCAGAACAAAAAGTTAGTGAGACCTACAATAAACTTAAATTACCACACAATTAAATCAGTTTTGTCTTGCTATCAGGGTCGCCGATACCATGGGATTTCCCAGAGAAATTAGAGTAGTTGCCTCAGTTAATACATGAGTTTCTTTGTTGCAAAATGTTAGAAAGTTGGTGTTTTTACGTTTGGGCTCTTTGGGTGAACAGTGCTGGAAAAGATGGAATAACATAATTCTATTCTCACATTCAACTTGCATACATTTAGAAAGTGTGTTAATGCATGGTTTCTGAAAGTGCATTAGTTTGACTTGGAGTTGCAGCAAATAGGCTAGGACAATCGAGATAGGGCCTAAAATGGAAGATTCTTTTCCACTGGATGAATGGGCATAGTGGATCTAAGGGCCAGGGCAGGACACCTGCTGAGGTTTAGATGTGAAATAGAGGTGGGAGGAGTGAACAGTGTTCACAGGGTTTAGTAATCTCAAGCTCTGGGCAATAATTCTGTGTGATCTGCCTTTTGAATTAGTAACTTTAATGGGGTGCTGGTTCTAGCAACTTGATTGTATAAGTGCATGGTATATCATAATGTAGAACAGTGAATGCAGTTCCTGTAAAGGGATGGTGCGCTTTGAGAAACCTGGTAGGGCAACCTCAGCCACAGGATTTCAGACAAAAGGTTGGTGGAAAAAAACAGATCTGGAGACAAATGGAGAATGCTGTATGTGTTTATCAAAGGTATGCCAGGTTGGACTACTTCACTTTCATCTTTTCAATAATTAATTTTGTTGACATAAGAAATAGAGGTGACTTGTCATCGAACTTCAGTAAAGCTGCAGGTGCCACAAAGAAATAGATGAAAATTCAGAAAAATGTGAATTAATAGAGAATTATTAAGGTGGTTGAAGGAACGGGATGAAATAAGGTGGTGGTGAAAACAGGCATTGAGCTAGGAGTAAGGAGTTACTGGCAGTTGTGAAAATGGGTTCTGTGATGAATTTTAGGTTTTTTTTCAGTGGCACCAGGTGCTCAGTATGCACATGGAACCTACTGGTGAGACAGCATTAATAAAAGCCCACACCACAAAAGCTTTAGACATGTAAGAAGGACTGTGAAGGATTAGGAGTTAAAATTTAAGAATTCTAAGTACAATTTCAGGGTCAGGGTAATCCTGCTGGACTTCTGAAGCTTGGCAGAGCCAACTTGGGCTGCTTCAGGTGCACAGGGTGAGCTCACTCTTCCCCACATGCCCCAGGGCTGGCTTGGCTTAGCAAAATAGAAACAGAGACAGCATAGGAAGAAAATGTGTGTAGGGAGGAACCAGGAGAGAAGAGAGACTGAAGGATGGCCTAAGAACAAATGAATTTAAATGACTGGCTGATTTTTACAGTGTAGTATGGAAGCTGTCTGCTGATCAGTGGATGAATGTGGCTCTGGAGTAGCCTGAGGAGCAGAAATAGGTGACAATAAAACAAGACTGAACTTGACCTGTGAACTGGCATGTGTATACATAGCAGAGTAAAAGGCAAGTGGATTTAATGGGCTAGAGTGAACCAGTCAAATAAAATTATGGTGAATGTTGTATCTGTTGTCTGCAATGTTATTGTCAACTGGTAGTTCATTAACCTTCTTTCTGCATGACTTGAAGGATGGTACTCAAGCTACGGGAGAGCTCTTTTTCAGAGCTCACATAGGTAAATAGCTGTTCTAAGGTGCAGAAGGATTTCAAGACTTAGTATTTGTGAACTGATGGTCAAGCTGAATTTCATGGGTAGCATCTACCCAGTTTTCTTGCTTCTTCCACAGGATCAATTACCAGATTCTCAGATGGGAGAATGAAACGGGCAGATTCTGGATCAGACCCCATGTACTGGCTGTGTTTTTATTAGTTTTGCTTTAAGTGCTCAGTTATTTTTTGTATAGAATTATTGCCTTTTTTACACTTCTTAGAAATAAACATATTAAAAATAAGATTATGCAGTCGTTAAAGACCAGTTTAGGCAGAGCAACCTGAGGGAAATTGTGGTACATGGAAGCAAATTTGAGGTTAATTAAAAACAAGGTTAAAGTCTTTTAAAAGCACAATTTGGCAAGATGAGGATTTGATCCCACCTGGTCCTGTATGAGTGCATACTGTTTTTGCCTCAGAGCAGTGCAAGCAAAACAGAAAAATTAGTGTGTTCTTAAAGCAAACTTTTAAGTTCCTGGTTCACATCCAGTCGGTTTAAAAAATTAAGAGTTCTATTTTACCTTACAAGCTTTTCAGAATCTATCAGCTACCCTTTTTCTTCTGAGGATTCTTACGAGTTGCTCTTGCAGCCAACGGCATATGTTCTACATGTCTGCATTAGCACTCTGCCACTCCAAAAAGCTTAGTTCCTTTAACATTCTTTCCAGCCTCAAATTATGCCAGAAAAATCTACTTCTTTTTTTATGCCACTGCATCAGCATACTGCCCTATGAATTAAAGATCAGACAAAAAGTCTGAAATAAAGAAAAGGTTTATCTGAAAAGAAAGACATAAATCTGGGGACAGTGAGAGCAGGCTTTGGAGCCATTGCCTTATCCTCTGAACAAGAGTGGCTCAGAACTGCAAAGGTGGGCTTTGTACCATTTATGGTACCCAGGTATTGCTATACAGAGCAGAGCATCCACTTGAATTTCCAAGTGTCAGAGGCTGATATTGTGACAGGAAATTAGTGCTTCATGGAATAGGGGTTGAATTTGTTAATAACAGTTCAGTTTAAAATACACTTTAAACTGTCTGTAGTCTGTCACTGTTTCTCTTCATGTGTTTTGCTGTGGCGGGGCTTAAATAATGTATGAAGAGAAACAGACAACCTCTGTCAGAATCTAATTATTTTGGGGTCTTACTCCCTCCAAAAGTTCAGACAGCCTGCACGTGTAGTATTATTTATTCATTAGTCTTCCAAGCAAGTTCTAGGTTTGATCTATAGTTCCTGTGCTGGGTAGTAGTCAAACCTGGGAAACATCACAAGCACAGGTGACCCCTTACTGTTCCTGTGCCTTCCCTTGATACCATGGTTTTCAGCTTCTAGTCTTTGATTCCTTTGGTAAGGAGACATATGTTTTGAAACCCATTCATGCATGGTAAGCCTCCTTATGGGGAGTACTTTGCCTTGGATTATCAATTCTTTATAAGACAGAGGTTAATAATGTGTCAAATAAAAAGCTGTAAAATCACTAGCCCTGCTGTGATCCTAACACCTATTTTTGAGGGGAACCTTGCTTTCTTTTAGATAGTCATTTGTCTTATGCTTGCATTAGCCTTGCTGTGTGGGATTTAAAGTGATAAGTTGTTTCTGAGT